TACCGGCTACGATTGTAAAGCCGCGACCCCTGCCCTTGCAAAATTCTGCGAAATGGGTATCTGTATAAAATTTTTAACATTTCATTTTCCTGTTTTACTTTTTTTTTTATATTCCATAAGAAAAGTTAGGAAATGTACCGTTAGCCGATACTATTTCGTTTTTAAGACATTTTATTTTGTACATGGGAATTTCCTTGGAAAAGTATTTTTCCATTTCCATATATTTTTGTCCCGATATTATTTTCTAAATTGAATGAAACCAATTGATATATAATTAAATTAGCTTTTCCTTAAAAAACGACTTACTAGGGTTTTTAGAGAGACTTTGAGGAAAATAAAGTATTTATATAATGGGTTTCAGATGTTAATGAAACTATGTGCCAATTTGTTGGGACAAAAGTATCTGGAAATGGAAATGGAATGTTTCGTTTAAAAAATTCTACAAAGTAATGCAAGAGAACATTGATTGATTATCGGAATATGTTGGGCTAGGTCATGAAGGCAGGTGTAGGGCAGTCCCATCTGGAGGTTTGGATGAATAGTTTAAGTAACTTGAAGTGATCTTAATTTTTATGTTCGTTTTATTGAGTTTGTTTATCTTTGCAGTCCCTAAAGTAAAAGTGAAACGAGGGGGAACGTTGTGAGTTCCAGCTGCGACCGCAACTCTATATTTATACCCGATACTTATTCCGTATGGCTCTCCGCTAGACGGCGAGGACGTACGACAAAGAGTACGTGCGAAAGAGACAGAAAAACAGTAAGAACGTGTTAACGGACGCTGCGCAGCCACTGCAAATTGGTTTTCTCCTTTTGGTTATAAAATTGATCCGATGTGATCCAGATTCATGCTCTAGCCTTAATAGTCTCTGAGATCTGTGGATGACACAGATTTTCGTCCTTTGCGGGGCGGATATCAGGTTCGATAGGATAGGAGTGTGCGGAAAGACAGACATGGCTCTATCGACTCGGTTTTTGATGCTGATCAAGAATATATTTTAAGAATCAAGAATTCTTTTTAATATTAGAAGAGGAAATGGGTCTGTCTCATGAGTGTACATATTCCTCTCCAGAGTTTGGGATAGCTTTTATTTTTGTGCTTTGTTTCATGGCATTATGCACCATTCCCTTGGAATACTTCAATGTTTCTGCAATTTCGCAGAACGAAAAAAGATTTTTATTATACAAAAATGGAAAATTGTAGTTATAAAAATATGTATTCCAGATATATAGTAAATCAACAGGGTTTGAAATGGTTCAGTCGACAGCTGCTACTGCTAACGCCACTGAACATATTACAAGCCGCAGTCAAAACAGAAGCAACAAATGAAAAGTGACGCCAACCGCAGCAGAAAGCCAATCGTCAGAGACTTGAACTTTTACGGTACTCGAGCTGCAAGGGTATATGTACATACATACATATGTACATATGTGTTCTTCTGCACATATTATACATCCATACGTACATTTTTGTTGTATTTCTTTGTTTCGGGTCGGTCAATCATACGTGTTGTTGCGTGTGGGCAAGAGAGATTGTAAATGGAAATCGATAATGGAAATGCCACAGGCATATATATGTACATATGTATATATAACTTTCCGTCCCCCGCTTTCGCCCCAGGCACTTTCCTTCTCTGGCAAACCAATCGCCGCCTGCAGAAAGATGCACCACCACCACAGAGCTACACATGCACTAATAATTTAACTTTGTTCTTATTTTCAGCTTTGGCTGTCGGGAAATTCGATATACATAACTTGGGATCAGAACGGCCAGACAAAGGCGTCGTCGACGGCGTCATCTCGATATCAGTGGCGGGACAGGGACGCCTCTGTAATCGTTCAATGACAGCAGCCGCAGCAGTTTCTGCTGCTGCATTTGCCGCTGCAGCAGCGCGCAGTTAACGCCCGAGCATAGGGTCCAGCGGAGAAAAGAGAACAGAGATTGTTTCGTGTTCTTTTGGACGTGGCCAAGGTATGTGCTGTGTAATCTCTTCATTTATGTTTTTGCCACTAATAACTATTTATCCGGTACTTCAGCAGCGGGCCATCTATACAGCAAAAAGACCAAAGGGAAAAGATAAACAACACATAAATTAAAACGACTGAGTGCTGAAGCCTCAACCAAAGGAGGGGAGATCAAGAAGAGGGCACCTACCCATTCAGCAGCAGAAAAAATGGTGAAAACCTTTCAAGCCTATCTACCGTCCACCAATCGGACCTACTCATGTGTTCACTGCCGCGCCCACCTCGCCTCCCACGACGAACTCATTTCGAAGTCGTTCCAAGGCAGCCAGGGCCCGGCCTACCTCTTCAATTCTGTGGTGAACGTGGCCTGTGGCCAGACGGAGGAGCGGGTCCTGCTCACGGGACTCCACGCCGTGGCCGACATCTACTGCGAATGTTGCAAGACGCCGCTGGGCTGGAAGTATGAGCACGCCTACGAGTCCAGCCAGAAGTATAAGGAGGGGAAGTTTATTATCGAGCTGGCGCACATGATCAAGGAGAACGGCTGGGATTGAACGTATGCAAGGCGGATTGGCGGATGTAAGGCAGCCGTCGGCAAGGGTTAAAGCAGAAAAATGGCCGAAACAGCAGCAGCAGCAACAAAAGAGGAAATACAGACACAAACACAAATCGTGGACAACGAGTGAAAGGCGTTGGAAGAAGTGCGAGTGCGAGCGTGAGCGGGATCGCTCTTGTTCTCCCTCAAGTGGAATGCAAATGCAAAGTGCAATGAGAGGGATGGAGTGTGCTGATGTTTTGAGGCGTCGATGAACAGAGGGAACAAGAAAGAGAGCAAAGGAGAAGGATATGATCAGGCAGGGGTGTAGGTTCAAGGGCAAGGGCTAGGCAGCAGGCGGTGAAGAAATTAAATTCGATCCACCAGTGAAAGTCATATGGTACCAGAATGCTATTAGTGCACTAATCGTCGTATCTAATAGAACAATCATCCAATCAGAGACAAAACATAATACAACCCACCCACATAAACACACACTCATGCAGATACGTACAAATATGTGCATATACAACAAATTTATACATACATGTATAAAATGCTTGAGTGGCCGTTTGGACGATCTCTGCGCCGGCCGCAGCGAGCCTGGTTGGAGCTGGCGCCATCTCCGTATGTACATATGTAAATGTATATATGTATGTACATATGTATATGTCAGGCTTTTGAATATTTTAATAATTTCATCACGCTTTATGTTCGCGTTCCCTTTCTTTCTCCTTCTTTGTATTTGAATCAATTGATCGGTTTATTGAAGGACACTAATCGAATGAAGATGCTGATTAAATAAGGTTTAATTTATGTTCAGTATGAGTGAAATCGATTTTTGTATAAACAGAAAACAGGAAGCCCGCAGCGAGAAAACGACACACACACACACACACATGTACACACAACAACAACAACTTGCACTGCCAAAAAACAGGAGAAATGCTTAGCAATAAAACACAACCACCGCGGGAAAAAATGGATCTTTAGAACACAAGGCATGCAAAAACCTAATCGGGAATCATAAATAAATATTCACAACAACGCGAAAACACATACAGAACACACACACACACATACAGACACATACATTCATACAAATACTCAGGCGAACACACATTTTCAACATAGTTGGTATTTAAAAATGTATTTTAAATTTATTATTTAATGCAATTTACCATGAAAGAAAAGCGAGATAGACATGAAATGAAAATTATAACTGTTTAAAGCTGAAAGAATAGCAAAGCAGCAATGCACGCGTCAGAGAGGTCGAGAATGGTGCGAACCGAAAGGCGAGATTGCTTCACAGGCACATCAATAAATATACTGCTCCCAGTGGAATGTAATACTGTGACGTGGATCCTGATCGCAGGAAATGGGCGGGGTGTGAAAGAAATTCAATAAAATACAAGGCATTCTATGCGTAACCGTAATAAAATCCAATATGAATATTTATTTATGTATATAAAGAAACTGCGTATTTGTCTCGCAAAAATTGTATAATAATCAAAGAGAATCGAGAAAACGGAAGAAATAATGGAGGAAATATTTTTAATGGAAGCAAATTATGAAATAATGTATGCAAAAATAACTGCCAGAACTATTCAAGTTAAAAGATGTTCTCTAAGTAGTTATATAAATGTATATGAGAAACATATTTTTCGTAGTGTTAAAATACCTTAAAAGTAAAAGGAAAACCGCAAAATATAACAAAAGTTCAATAAAAAAAAAAAAAAAACAAGTCAAATTTTTTAAAGAAAGCTTATATCGTGAAGCATGCAAAGTTATACAAATGGCAGAACCGGTTTTTTGTTGTTGTTTTTATGACATTGTTTGTACATTGCAATAGTCTATTTACTCATATTTATCAATCTTTAGGCCTAATTCTGAAAAAGCTTTAAGCGTTGTTTTACTCTACTCCCTGCATGTGATGCACCATAAATGGAACAAAAATTTAAGCGGAATTCATAACACTGATGTCAGTATCTACATACATACATATATGTATATATATATATATATATATATATACTTGCATATACATACATACTACTATCATACATCCATTCATACCAATATATATACATATGTAAGTACATGATAAAACTAGAACACCTTTACATCAAACACAAAATTACAGCCATCTCCATTAACTGAAGTCAGGTTGGAGTAGAGAGATTGTTAGTAAAAGCGTTTCAAGATTTTCTATTGTACGAGTATACACGTATATGTATGTGTGTGCTATGCATACCCAGCAAACCAAACGCACGATCCTTCAGCGAGTGTCTCGCAGTTAGCGATACATTTGACTTGCGTGCGACATATGCGTTTGGTTTGCTTACATCGCCATACATACATGCATATACATACATATATACATATATATTGGATATAAACGAAACATAAATCACTAACTGCAATAAAGCACATTTTTAGCTGTACTTCGAATTTTGGTTTCCTTTAATAGAAGTACGATGCAGAGAAAAATTAGAGACACATTTATTTCTATAAAACGAGCTTAAAACGGGTTTATTTTAAGACAATTTTCTTTTGGTTTATCAATTTTGTGTGTTTATGTTCATGTGAAAGCGATTAAGGTTGTCTATTATTTGTGCGATTGATTTTAATTCTCTTCTCGACTCTGCGTTAACTATGTATGTGCATTTGCGATTCGTGGAATTTAGATTTATGGTGCTAACATGCAACTGTGCTATCGAGAGGTTTTGTTTCTGTGTACTTAGTGGATCAGCTTGATCTGTGGTCACCAATTATTTCCATTTGTTGGAGTGTTAGCACCACTTGGACGACAGTCCGGTAATGGGGTTCATCTGCAGTTGAATGATGCGACGCAGTTGCGACTGGCGCCGGTCCTCGGCATACGTTTCCGGCACGGGGTCATAAAGCTTGAAGTAATAGGACAACGAAATAAGTAGTCCAACGGCGGCTGACCAAAGACCAACGCCAATGACCAACTTCCAGTCGGGCGTAAAATGCTGAAACTCGGCGTAGGTCTGACAGAAGCTGTGCCGATACAGGAGCTTATTGTCCTGGAGCGACAACGCATTCCAGTCGCCTAGCTCCTTTTCGCGCACTGCGCACAGCTCGGGTGTGACCTCGCGATAGCGAATCGCCGGAAACGGAAACTCCACGCAATCGATGTAGATGGGATTGCCGTTTACGCCATAGCCGACCACTTCGCGTTCGCCGCTCATCAGGCGTGTACTGTCGTGATGGGTTTCACGACGCATCATTGCCATTATCGCCGCCCGCATGGGAAGTACTTGGTGGAACTGCTTATGTAGACGCAAGCTCAGCGCACGCATTACTGACATTGTGACGGGACTACACCTGGAAGAGTCACCATTTTTAGTCGTGATAATGTTGCTCCGGCTGCAGACATTTTGTTGCTTACCTGATCTTTGTATTCTGTATTTTGGTGCAATAACTTATAAGGTAGAACTTCGATTCTGATTTTCTGGTCCGATAGACTGGTCGGAAAGCACAGCTCAGCAGGCTGGAAATAGATTTCAAATTTTCACACAACCTTAAAAGCCATTTGTTGCATTTACATATTTTTACATATGTGTATTATGATGCCCTTTTCATACCCGATACTCAAAATGAATATTGGGGTATATTAGATTTGTGGTATAATCGTTTCCGACCCCATAAAATATATGTATTCTTGATCAGCATCAATAGCCGAGTCAATTGAGCCCTGTCTGTCTGTCCGTCCCTATTAGCGCCTACTGCTCAAAGACTATAAGAGCTAGAGCAACGATGTTTTGGATTCAGACTTCTGTGATATGTCACTGCTACAAGAATATTTTTATAAAACTTCGCCCCGCCCACTTCCGCCCCCACAAAGGACGAAAATCTGTGGCATCCACAATTTTAAAGATACGAGAAAACCAAAATCGCAAAATCATAGAGAATGACCATATCTATGAGATTGCTGAATCTGGATCAGATCGGATTATTTTTATAGCCAAAAGGAACAAATCAATTTGCAGTGGCTACGCATCGCCCGACGTCACGCTCAGACTGATTTTCTGTCTCTCTCGCACGCACTCTTTGTCGTGTCGTTCAATATTAGCGGCGTCTGCCGGAGGAGAGCCACACTGACTAAGTATCGGGTATAACTGTAGAGTTGCGGTGTCCGCAGCAACTCACAACGTTCCCCCTCGTTCTTTCTTCACTTTGCATTTTCTATTTCCAATCGTCAAATTGTGCGAAAACAAAGCGAAATTAAGTGCTGTGATTATTATTATTATCAGGTAAGTGCAGTGTTTAAATAATTAATAATATGTGTTATGCGCGTGGTAAATAAAGTACATTGACATTGTTTTCACAGAACCTGTGCCAGGAGAACAGCCAATATCGCGCAAGTACATGAATTATTAATTACTTTGTGCACAATGCACAATAGCTAAAAAAATGTTGATTACATTTAAAAGTAAGTTATCGATTTGAAAGTTAAAAATCCATGTACACTAACATGTATTTTGTTGTTTATATTTCAGAAGAATTTTATTATTTAGAAAAAAAAATTTGATGTGTTATCAGAAACATTGGCGGAGGCGGTGGCTCTTCTCAAGCTACCATGAAGTTCCAAATGCCATGAAGTTCCCGATAGAGTCGACGATGGGGTTGGAGCATTTCAACTCTATCATAACTCCAGAGCTCACCGATTTCTATGTGAGTGGTAGCCTATCCTTCTATGGCAGTTAGTTGTTATTTTTTCATTATTTTCTTTTATTAGATAAACAAATTACGGAAATTAATGGGGACGAGCCGATCAATGGTATGCAGTTTGAAAAATGTGCTGGACGAGAAGCTCATTTTAGAATAAAACTAAAATGGTGCTTCGGGGAAGAGCTCGCTAAAAAAATTTTAAGAGTTTTTGCAATGTCCTGGAATGTAGGTCTAGAAATAACTTTAAAAAACATAATAATTAATTAATTAATTTATCCACATATTTTTTCAGCGGCGGTGAAGATGAAAATACCCAACGAGCCAGCAGAAAAAGTGATTCGGAAGGCTATTCACAACATTAAGAAAAGTAATTTTCAGAAGAGCTCACGAGCCTAAAAATACAAAGCTCTGGCCTCCTAAGAAAATAATTAATAATAGTTTTTCATAAATAAAGCTAACTGGAAAAATAAAAAAATGAATGTATTACTTTTTTTATATTAAATGCATGATTTTTCGACAAAAATCATCGTTTATTAAGTGCATGATTCGTCGGGAAAAATCATCACTTATAAAATGCTTGAATTTCGGCAAAAATCATAGCTTATTAAGTGCATGATTTTTTGGCTCCTATCGCCCTCCTATCTCTCTCTAACACACACGTATCATAGCCGGCTTTGCTTAGCGCAAAACATTAGCACCTACATAGATCTCAGAGACTAAAAGAGCTAGAGCAAACAAATTTGCTATCCACAATACTATGATTTCGATACTGCACAAGTATATCTCAAAACATCGCCCCACCCTCTTCCGCCCCCGCAAAGGACGAAAATCGGTGGTATCCACAGATCTCAGAGACTATAAGTCCGAACTGTAGAGCTCTCACTGTTACAAAACTATTTATAATATTTCACTGTTACAAGTTTATTTCTTTTTGCTTACTGTAGAGAGCTCACTGCTTCAAGTATGTTTTCAAATTTCGCCCCACCCCCTTCGAACACCACAAAGGACGAAAATCTGTGGCAACCACAATTTTGAAAATAGAAGAAGATTAAAAACGCACAATTACAGAGAATGGCCATATCTACCAGATTGCCGAATCTTGCCGAATTTGACCGCGACTCGACTCCTACTACATAAACTTTAAAAATGTAGAATCCCGTGACTCTACAGGGAGCTAACTCCGAAAACAACAATATGCCTATTCAGAGCCTAAACGAAACGGCACAATCATACCTAGGGCGTACCCGAAAGTTCTAGGGGCTTTCGTCTGTGTGTTCCAAAAATATCGCGGGCGTGAGGTCTTGAGATAGTAGTCGACCCACAAAATTCTGTACCCACCCTTCCCTGATTTACAGTTGTGAGAAGGTTCTGGAGATCCCTATTATTCTCACCCTACCCCATTACGTCACCATGTCACTGGGAAATTAGAAGTCTATTCCATATTCATTGCTAACAAAATTTAATATATTTCTCGGTACTTAAAACTAGACATTTTGCCACATTTTCAGAAAATCAGCAATCACAAGTGTTTAGTTGCGACCATTAGGCAAATCAAGGAGAGCAGAAAAATTAATGGAATTAAAAAAAATGGGGCTTAATCCTAAAGGATAAAGAGGAATTATTATAGATCTATGTATATATAAACGAGAGGGTATATGAATATAATAAAGATATAAGGAAATTAATATTAATACATAGAAAAATCAAAATCCGCCAAATTATCGAAGCAGCGTACGTCAGACCAGCGATCCGCAATGAAAATCTAAAACGAAATTAAATTAAAACTTTTTAACTGGTTTTGTTTTTTTTTCGTGTTGCTTAGTGTATTTTTCGGTAAGGTTTCAATGCATTAGAGAAATTCATGGAATGCGAGCAATGCAAGCTTAAAGCAGAATTGGCAACTACGAGAACGAAAAGCTTCGAGTGTGTTTTTATCGCAATCGTTGCTCTCTCTTATCAGCAGCGGTTGGCCGCTGCGCATGCCTTTTAGAATTTTACGAATGCCGACGCAAAGCATAAAAGGGAAATTGGGTCACTTACAGCTTCAGTACAGTGGTCCCTCGCTGAAAGGCGCCTTTCGTTTTGAAGCTGTGGAAACAGCTAAAAAAGGGGGGGATATTTGAAAGGTTTGGGGTATTTTTTTTTTTCTAATTTTTTTATTTTCAACCATCAAAATAAATTAAGTTTTGGGAACTTTCGCGTTCACGGCTATCGAGGCAGGACTGCCTCGGAGTTAATGAAAGTAACATAGGAATAGCAGGGCTCAGAAGGAACCAAAAAATAAGGAAAATGGAAGCTACACTATGCTACAAAATATTGGACCGGATCCGTAACGGCTTCTTCTAGTTAGTTAGCGGAGCACGAGGGGAGGGGGGGTGATCTCTATGCCCTCTATGCATCACACTACAAGGCGCATGGGGCCTGCGCGTAGGTTATGTATGGCCAATAACCATACAGAATATGCATAGATGTGCCAGTTCATACAACGAAAGCGTCACACACTGGCTAGCGCGTTCAGTACCCCAGAGTGACGTCATCATGAGAGAGAGAGAGCGCAGAGAGAACATCTTTGCATGTGTTAGTACACACGCAATATGTTTCGACAAAAATATGTGATTGTATGCTTTTTCAGATTTTTCAGTACTTGAACTCTCTCAGGTCTGGTTCTGTTTTGCCACCAGCATGTTTTAGTGTATGGGTGCACATGCATTCTCACGTACTTTGCGTGTGTGTGTTTACTATTGCTGGCCGCTAGAACTGAAATTTGAGTTTGATTCTTGTTTTGGGTCTTTTGATGGTCTGACCTACCGCCACAAAATAAATGAAGAATGGGCAGGGGGTTGGGGTATGGTACACTAGGGCGCGGGAAATAAAATAAAAGCTGTTATTTGTTTGATTTATACCACAACAGTATTATAATAATATAATTACACATTTATTTCCTTATTTCAAACAGGATTATTATAAATTATAAAAATTATGCAATTATGCAATTATGCAAATTATGCAAAATATAATTGCACATTTATTTCCTTATCTTAAGCAGGTTTATTATAAATTATAAAAATTATGAAAACGCAGTCGGTTCTCGACTTTTTTGTTTATTATAACTAAAACAATGATGTATCTAAATATACAATATAAGAAAATATAGATATATACTTAAATAAATATGCATAAATATAAATGGAATTGGTTTTACATATATTTCAAATCAATTGTCAATTGCGCGCTTTCCGACAGGAATCTGCAAAGCAAAAATTTAGATGCCGGTCGCACCTTGAATACTCTCATGGACAATACCCATACATTTTCTAATTCAATTATAAAGACAACATTAAGACAACAGTAATTTTACCCTCATGCAATATACGAATGTAATAATCTTTAATATTTATGTACATGCTATGCTATGACATGCATCGATAATTGGCACAAGGTTATTGCATGCGATATGCCCGAGCACCATAGCAATAACCTAACCTGGATCTGTACTGTCCAGCCGCAACCGTTACAATATGATAACGCACACAGACAACTATGAATTGCTGAGGAGAATAGAAATGCTTAAAGAGGGCGAGAATATTTTGACTATAGAAAAATTGCAAATTGTTAGGAACAAAATCATGGAAAACGTCAGTAAGGCATATCACACCAATAGTATAGTCTCTTACAATGATTTGCGCACAATGTATGTTACGTTCGAAAACGTCTTTAGGCGAATCTTTGCCCAAAGTAATAAGATCAATGTATTTAATGCAAAACTAGCTCCTAAATTCTTGAAGGCAACTGTAGTTCGAAAGTTTGGTAACCACTGTT